GATCTGATTCCCTTCGGAATTCGGTCAGCGGTCAGAGGAGATGACTGTCCACCAGACATGTTGATATGTTCAAAAGTCAGTATTAGTTAGCAACTGCTTCTTCTCTCGCATACTTCTCATCTCCCAATAGGCATTCAAATCATTTGCCATAGAGCTTTGAAAGTTGTTCAGGAAGTGTAGGAGGAACTGCAAGGATGAGAGCCAGAAAGCGAAGAGAAAATTTAGAACAAATTACAACCTAAAGACATCGATCAAAATGGTTCAGTTCAAGATATGATATGCTATAAAAAAATACGCAACCGCAAGACACTGAAATGAGATTGCGGCGAAGTGTAGAGGTGAAGTGTGTAATTTCTACAACATTAGCACCACCAGATCTGTTTGTTTGAGCGGCCAGCTGAGCCATAACAATAAGGGTGTACTCACACTAGACACGGTTGCCTTAAACCGCGTGCGATTATACATTTCCTGTTCATCTATAAGGTGAGAACCATAGCCATTATAAATCTAAATATACTTGATTGAATTAAATTAATTGAAAAGTGTAGTGTAGTAGTAATAGAATATGTTTGCAGTCGTAATGATGACAGTAGCGCACACAAAACAGTATCTGTTCCGTGCTCTGGCGCGGTTAGCGCTCACACTGCATGCGTACTGCGCCCGAGCCCAACGGAACCGTGCCCCGGCCCACCTCTTCCAACCGGGCCAGGGACGGCTAAACGAACCACGCCCGAGCGCGGCACAGAACGCTCACACTAGTCAAACGAACCGGGCATTGGGGGTCAAACGCTCTCGGCCACGGTTCAAAACGCCTAAAGTGAGTATACCCTAACAAAGTGTGTGGGGTGGGACTTTTTATTTGAACCGTAGTGTTAAAGGGTTAGTTCACCCAAAAATTAAAATTAGGCTGTGTTTTACTCACCCCCGAGGCATCCTAGGTGCATATGACTTTCTTCTTTCAGACGAATCCAGTCGGAGTTATATTAAAAATTGTCCTGGCCATTCCAAGCTCTATCATTGCAGTCAGCGGGTGTTGCAGTGCTTCAGTCCAAAAGAAATTAAATAAAAAGCGTCCATCCATAAAACAAAGTGTCTCACATGGCTCTGGGGGGTGAACAAAGGCCTCCTGTAGTGAATCGATGCATTTTTATAAGAAAAATATCCATATTTAAAACATAATAATCAATTTAATCTA